GCATTTGGGGGATTTTGCTCGTTGTCTTCTTACAGCAGCCCAGGCCCATTCATTAGGCTGCTGGAACAAAAAACCCCTACATAAATTGGCGACTCCTGCTGGGGAACAAGCTGCCATTTTACTGATGCCTCATTATTTTGTAGAAAATTAATGGGTTTATTAAAATTGCTCATTATTTTTCTTGGACATTGACAATAAGAAAATGGTACAAAACCATCCAATTTTTCCCATGAGTCATCTACTACCTATGAAAATCTTAAAATCTCCAAATTATCTTAAAGACACAAATTCTAAATTAGTGGGCCACACTTACCCATTAATTTTCAATTGTTTGAACTACGTTAGTTTGATCCTATCAAGAGTACGTAAGCAGTCTACCATCCCAATAGACGCAACCGAAACCAAATTTGAAGGAAACAAAATGTACATACTTATAAATATCAACAAAATGTACGAACTTACACGTGGAAAAGCACCTTCGGTGATAAACAAAACAAATGAGATAAAAAAAAAAAATTTTAACTAGGAAATTTCTTTTTCTTTTTCTTATTTTTAAAAAAGAAAAGTGGAAAAATAAATAAATTGAAACATGAGGCTCACTGGATCTAGTGACAGGATGACAAAATTAAGCATCTTAAACTCAAACCAGGGAGGAGCTGTCACTATATCCTCCTGCTCCCCCATAGTTGTCCTGACTGTCGTAGTGTGGGGTCCATTCAGATCTATCTGAAACTGATATCCCAAGAGGCCATGACGACGTCGTCTTCACAGTGTTGGCTACGCTGCTGACTCCTCCAGGCATAGAGGAGGAGGGCCACACAAAAGCGGGTTTAAAAGGCGGGACTCAGTTCCGGGACTTGGCTCTCGATTGCTATGACGAAAAAGATGAAGAGGCACTTGTTGAGATTTGCATCAGCAACATTGTAGCAGACTATAGAGTGTACTTGGAAAATATTGGCATCAGTCAATTTTCCCGGCTGCTGGAGGCGGTAAGGAAGACGAGCATGTCTGTCAAGCCGGCTGGACAAAGAAGTTGGAGGAGTGAGAAGAAGTAATCACATAAGACATTGGCCACAGATGATAAGCCATCTAATAACTACTGCCTGTCAGAGTCTAAGGGGGATTTTACATGCTAAAATACATGAGGGAGTCCTTGAACTTCCCTTTAGGAAGCAAACAATAGATAAAGACCCCTTGCCAAAACGAAGGGAAAAAGAGGTAGCTGCTGTCATTACATGTTCCGATGATTTGCTTGATGATGACGAATTGTGCCACCCGTGGAGGAATGACCCAAAGCCGTTGGAAGCTATGTGGGAACCTTGCGGAAACATGGAGAAGGCATATTGGTGTAAATATTTGAAGCATGCAAGCTACAACATGCCATGGCCGCTCGCTGATGGATGGGGTGACGACTCAGGCAATGAAGTTTTTGTCCTGGACATGCTGGAAGAATGCTACTCGGGGTCTTCATTGGGATAGCATGAAACAGCTGCTGTAACATTTCATAACCTTACAGAGGCTGAAACAGGTGCGATGGAACGATATTTAAGTCTGAAACAGGGGCCCACAGCTTCGCATGTCTTCTAAAGAAACCCGAAATTCAAGTCCCTCTTTGATCAACTTGGCTTTAGGCCTCAAGCTAGAGAAGTAGCTGCTGTAGCTCTCATGAACATCTCTGCAGAATCCGATCCTCATTGCTTCACCGCTCAACTACAAAGGTCATTTTTAGGAAATGACAATGCTATCGTCTTCACAGACGAGGAATGGAAGTTCCATACCCATAGGAGGCCACTTTGTTTGGAGGGACAAATCAACGATGTGTTTATAAGAAGAGCTTTGGTAGACACGGGCTCCTCTGTCAATATACTACCTCTGTCTGTGCTTATGGCAACTGGTATTCCATTATCCAAAATCGTGCAATCTCAAACAAGCATCAGCGATTTCGGGAATAAGAGTAAGATCACGATCCGACACATGCAAGTAAACTTGAAGGTGGGGCCAATCCGGTCACTTACCAAGTTTTACGTGGTAGATGTGAATGTGGCTTACCATGCTTTGCTTGGAAGGCCATGGCTCAACAAGCATAAACTTGTAGTCTCTATTTACCATCAATGCGTGAAGGGAAGGATTGGGCTGAGGCCATTCCGCATACCTGGAAACCAAGCACTGTTCAACAAAAACGAAGCTCACTACTTCGAGGCAAAATTTTACACCGAATGCACATGCGCTAGAAGCAAACCATCCAAGGATTTCGGGACCTATCTTCCTTCATGGATTGAAATTCGTGATCTAACCAACGAGGAGCTCATCACCACTGTTGATTGAGAAAGAAAAAGGCACTCGGAGGTCAACAACCATGCCTACGACCATCCCCAATGCTCAAAGGTGACGCTGCCAGATGGGCGCACAGTGTATCTCTTATGACGGGATTGGGGGCTTAACCGTGTCCTGCTGGAATGCCCCCAATATGGAGGAGAAGCAATGCAAGCGAACAGCCATAAGGATCCAGATGACAAGTCATCCACACCTTGTGCTC